TGAGAAGAACTGCAAATACTTGGTCTTCCGGATTATGCCCAGCAGTCCTCCCTAACCAAATCATTCTCCCAGCGTCTATCCCACAGATTGACACTGGAAATTTAGGTCATGGGTGGTTAATGGTATAGCTTTGATTAATTAGGTGACTGGGTACAAATTTCCTACTTCGTTGCTGGGTGACCCTGAGTGCATCATTGATTATAGATTTAATTTTCGTCCAGCTGGAAAATAGGGACATTACCTCTGTCATATAATTTTAAGGTTCAAATTATGACATTATTCACGGACCAGCATGAAAAAAAAAACAACCTTAACAAGTTATATATCCCTATACAATAAACACAGATAAAGAGAGGATGGAATTTAATGGGAAAATGTCTTCTAAGTTCAACATGGGGAAACTATCTTTCCACAGCTCCACCAGGACTTACAGCTCTGCTCCAGCAGTTCTGCATCACGACCTCTTTCTAGCCTTTTCCCAGATGGAATCCCCATTTCCCTCAGTATCTTTCTAACAATTCCCCCTTTCACAAAACACTCCTTGACCACCTACAGACAACTCTGCTTGCTAGTCCCCCGAGCCTCCTATACCATCCCAGTGTGTTTCTGAAGATTTGCACACGATGCTACAATGCCTTCTAAATCTTGTCTGTCACTCTGCTCTTTTTCAGAGTTCTCAACAGGCTGTTCCTATGTCATCCCTAGCCCTACTTCTACCACATACGGCCAAAGCTTTCATACTGACCAAGAGAAACTCTCTGGCTCCTCATCCTGCAAAGAGGTCACTGTCATCATAAATGCAGCCTTCTGTTCAGGAAAAAGGAAAAGGCAACTTGGAGAGTACTTCACTCACTCGAAAAATGGAGGCCAAACTCATGTACAGGTAGGCAATGGGGAAAACCCCTCCTAGAAAATGAGATCAATGTCTATGAGCTCCATCTAGCACATAGGACACTTCTATCAGACCCTTCTGTGAGTCAGAAGTGAAGGTGCAAAGACCTATGGTGACCTCTCACTGTGACCTTCAGGACTGTCCTGTCAGAAAGGAGGCCAGTGACAACACCGGGCCATAAACAATGGCACTGGTCTTCCTCTGAGAGAAAGGGATGGGCCTCAACCTCTGTAGAGCAGGACCCTTGAAGAGGAGTAGAGGTCTACTGTAGTTAACAACTAGAACCTCAGAGGGGAGGGAGTTTCCTGAGCCTTCCTGCTAAGCATCTCATGGTGGACAGCATAGGGACTGCCCAACACAAAGCTATCACACTGCAGGTATTGTAGAGAAGAAACAGGAGTAAAACGGGCTCAAAAGAGATCAGAAAGACATAGACAGACAGAAGGGGAAACGAGCTTCCAAAAACCAGGATGTGGCCAGTGTGAAGACAGAGGAAAGGTGTGCATGCATGTGCAAACACTGTGTGTGCATGTTCACCATGTACAAGCTTTCAAACAATATAGGTTTCTGGGAGACGGGACAGTTAAAGTTTACATCAAATCTGGACAGGTGTCTCAATAAACATCATATTGTCAGGTAAACACTGAGTGTCCACTCTCAATATCTCAGCCCAATTCTAGCCAAGTGAATAAATTAAGAGGAAAGATTGGAGTTGGCCAACACTGAGAACCAGGTCTGGGGACATCCTACAAGTAGCCCATAAGTAATTTTGAGATGAAATGTGGAAGAATATCTTTAACTTAGTAGCTAGGAATTTATTTTTATGTATATACAGAATATTGTAATGAGTACATCAAATTCATGTTTTCAGACATTTGACATATCAGAATCAAGGCTATGCAAAGAAGTGAGTTGCTTTAAGATCAATTTAAAATGTGTTAAACAAGCAACACACGCACGCGCGCGCACACACACACACACACACACACACACACACACACACACACACACACACACAAATAATGTGGTTGTGGTCCAAACTGTAAAAGGAGTTTGTATATAAATGACTACAATTTGGGAGGCACTGAGCTAGGTTTGTGAAGAGGTTTTATTTGAAGGATGCCATTCTGTGGAAATATGCAATTTGCTTCCACAGATTACCTGTATACTCCAGCCCTGTACTTTCACTTGAAAGGGTGCTATGAGAAAGCTTTCTGCGTTTGTCCAAAAACTGAACAAAGAGAAAGGTGAAGCTTGTGAAAACATTACAGTGCACTGTCACCTACTGGTGGCAGCAATGACAGGGTATGATTAAGCCAGAACTTCCCATTTCCTGGCCCAGTCCTCCTTGCACCACCCACTCCCTAGCCCCTGCTAGGGTGCTTTCCACACCAGCCTGGACACCATTCCCATTTCTCAAAGAAAATAAATACTCAAAATGCACTGATTTTGATGATAAAATGCACATAGTTTTATATTCACATCCACTGTCCAAACAAATGCACACATAGATATAGGTGCGCATACACACACACACACACACACACACACACACACACACACACACACACACGCACGCAGATTTTTCTATTGCAATGACTCTTACAGAAGCTAGACCCTCTGCCAAAATCCATGCAGGTGGAAACTGCAGTCCTGTTTCCGGTCACTGGGAGGAAGCTGTATTGCTTTACCCTCTGTGCCCAGGACATGGCAGCCCGTTCTGCTGCTTAGACAGGTCTGCTCTCACAGGTCTTTCACTCTCGGCCTCTGCCTCCTGTGAGAAACGCTAATCTCAGGCCCAGATCTAACTGATTGTCTCCTCATCTCCCTCTTTTCTCCTCAATGCTGTAAAGCACGCTTCAGGACCAGGTCCAAGGCTGCTGCTGCTCTAGGCTGACCACAAGCCAGTTCTACCCGAAGCCCGAGGAAGTGACTGACACCGTGCGCTCTGTCCCCGTCTGCACTGCGCACTGCTTAGCAGGAAACCTTAGGTGACCGGGCGCTCCTGGAAACCTGAGAAGCACGCTACCCTGTAGCCTGATGCCTCATTCCCTCAGCAGATGGGGATGAGGTCAGCCCTGTTCCAAGTGTTCCCTGGTACACGCAGAGGAGCCCAAGTTCTGAGCGGACTGTGGGGAGAATGACCCCCACCAGATGTTTAAGAAGAACACAGGCTACTGTTAGAAGAGAAGCCAATGCAGAGTTCAACACGTCCCTGCCCTAGGAACTCTTCTAGGAACTGATATGAAGGAAATGATCTGAGTAGAGAGGAACAGATTGAAACATCGAAATGGTAACAGTAGCTTTACTTATAGAAGCAAAGTATTTGCTGCAATCCAAATGGTGCTAACTCCCAAGGTGTGGCCTTACTGTGAGAATTCAAAGCTTATTTAAATGCAGCAAGGTTTTGAGGGCAGAAAAGGTTTGATTTTATGAGTTATGGTAAAGAAGGCCTTTACTTCTCAATATAAAAGTAAATCAAATGTTGAGAAAAGAAAACACACACACACACACACACACACACACACACACACACACACATACACACACAAAATGCAGATATGAATCCTTTTCTCCCTAAGGAAATCACTCCCCTCTCTGTGCCTTTGCTGGAGCTCATACAGAGCAGTTGTTGTCGTCTTCATAGTCGTCATCATCATCATCATCATCATCATCATCCCAGTGTCTACTGAGCATATGCCAAGATGTCCTGGACCATCTGACACATTTTAATTTTCACAATAGCCCTAGGCCATGCAGAAGAGCTCAAGGCCTCGATTTCTACACTGCACAAGTCTCTTGTTACAGAAACTCAAGTGTGCTGTACATTTTAGGGCCCAGTCTTTGATCTCTGCAAAAATTCTGGAAAACCACTGTCCCCAGTGTCAAGAATAGAAGACAGAGATCCTGAAATGTTAGATACCAAAAGTCATCCACAGTCATTCATGGACGCAGAATTCCCACTGGGACAATCCAGAGCTTTTTGCCAGAACCTTGAAGGGCCTCCTTTAATATACATTTCTCTCTGATCCTAGTTGTTGCAAACACTGAACTAAATTTCTCACTCAAGTATGAGTTCCTTACAGACAAGGTCTCATTTTCATATCCCTAGATCATGAAAGTACCATGTAAATGTCCACTGCACGTTGGAACCAGTCTTGATGTTTCTGTGTAGCAGCCTCATGCAAGACGTTGTAATGCATAATTTTGTTAATCCTCAGGTCTACCCTCTGGGGTGAGCACTATTGTGCCTACTTTACAGAAAAGCAAACTGAGGATGAAAGAGATAAAAGTTTGTTCCTGTGGTAAAGTTGGTATAAGAACCAATACTGGCTGACCTACAGTAGATCATGAGGCCTTCACTCCTATACCATATAAGCAGATTGACTGATTAACTGCTTATTTTTTGTTTTGAGGCAGGTTCATGCTATGCAGCTTTGGTTAGCCTGGAACTTGCTATGTAGATTGGGCTTGCTAGCCTCAGACTTGCAGGAATCGTCCTCTGTTGCCTCTGCCCTCTGCCTCCCAACTGCTGGGACACAAGTTTCTTGTCACAAAAGTTGAAATATGACTGTATACTTTAGGGCCTTGTACTCGATCATTGAAAAGAACTTAGAAGTCCTGAGATGAAAAGGTTTGGTACATTTGTGGTGATATTTCTCTTCTACTTGGAGTAGAGAGGAATTAGTCTCTAATTCAGTAACTAATTTCAAATATTTTAAAGTGTCAACACAGAGAAGAGTCTAAGAGTATGCAGAAGACGCTGCTTCCCACAGGCACAGACCAGTAGGACACAGTGACTCCCTCCAACAATAATTCCAAACCGAGTCAGGGGAAGGGAACTGTTTCTCTGAGACTGGCCAACAAAGGAGGGACCTCAGGCAATGCCAGAGCCCAGTTCTTGTTGTGCAGCAGAGAGAGGAGCCTCAGCTTTTTGTCCAGAGACTTGTGCCTTTCTTTCTCAGCAGTGGAACCAGGCAGGCCAACTAAGACACAGAGTCTTCTGGACACCTAAGGCCAGCAGCACACAACAAGGATGTCCACAGCAAGCCATGGAGGCAGCAGGGATGTCTCCATATACCACCCTGGCCCTGGGCAGCAAACTCACGTTTCTCTGTGGACGGCATAGCATGGAAGAGCGTCAGGGGCCTCTCGCTGCAGGATGGGGGTTTGGAGTCGCTGCTTTTCTTCCGGGACAGGTGTAGCTGGGCATTGGTGAGGGGCACGTCAGGCACGGTGTTGAATATCTGCACATCAGAATACAAAAGTTACACATTTCTGTGAACTAGGAAGAAAGTACAGGTCTGAATCATGACCAGGAGCTTGGTGATGAGTTCAAATAAGCAAGCAAAGATGAGAAAGGCCTCCAGCATGCGTAGGCCTCCACTGAGACACTTCTAGGAACTAGGATTGAGTACTCCAGGAACTGATGCAAGAGTTCACCTCCCCCTTTTAATCCCTTCTGTCATAGTTTTTCTGGGTCTCCTCTGATCTATGCAATGGGAACGTAAAACAACAGTGATAATCTAAACTACTGTCTGCTAACAGTGAAGGGTTTTTTTACTGCCTTTGTCCAGAACCAATTAATCTAAATGCCCTTCTTTTCTCCATTTGGTCTCCTCCCCGGTTATTTACAACTGTTTCACAACTTTATCTCAAACCATAAAACATATTTAAATAGTGCTCCCAAACTGACACAGAACAGGGAACATTTTTCTTCCTCATCAACTACCCTCATTGGGCATGGCCTTCCTCTTTTAGAAGCTCTGTGTTATCTGAGAAGGTAAGCTTTACCATATTTCAAAGGATGGAGGTGGGTGACCCTGATCTCTCTCTCTCTCTCTCTCTCTCTCTCTCTCTCTCTCTCTCTCTCTCTCTCTCTCTCACACACACACACACACACACACACACACACACACACACACACACACACACGGATGTACATACGTACACATTTAGAAAATGTAGAAAAGTCTACAGAAAACCTCAGAGTTCTATTATTTATAGATTATAACTTTTAGGAGTTAGGTTTTGTGTCTTTAAAAGGTTTTCAAAATCATTTTGTTGTTATTTAAGAACATGTATAGTAGCTACTTTTCTAACTGCCATGACAAACACCAGGCAAGAAACAACTTTAGGGAGTTTGACTTGTGATATAAAAGTACAGTCTATCGTAGTGTGGATGTGAGGTCGGAGTCTATCGTAGTGTGGATGTGAGGTCGGAGTCTATCGTAGTGTGGATGTGAGGTAGGAGTCTATCGTAGTGTGGATGTGAGGTAGGAGTCTATCTTAGTGTGGATGTGAGGTAGGAGTCTATCGTAGTGTGGATGTGAGGTAAGGGTGTAGTCTATTATAGTTTGGAAGTCATGTTGGAGGGAGTGGCTCACAGCTGTAGCAGCAGGAGCATGAAGCTGCTTGCTCACATCTCAATGGATTAGAAATCTGAGAGACAGAGACTTGAGGAAATGGGCTTGGCTATTAGTCCCAAAGTCTGCCCCCAGTGACCACTTCTCCCAGCTATGCCCCACCTCCCAAAAGTTCCATGGACTCCTCAAACAAGAGTTTCAATCGCAAACCCATGGAGAATATCGCACACTCCAGTCACAGGGAGGTAACAACACGAGACAAAAATCTTACCAACTCTTACTTGCCTTACTACAGAATTTTTTTATCACTATAGCCAGCACTTACATGGTGCTTACCATGTAAGTAGCTGCCACTTATTGCAGTTCCTGGGGTGCTAGTCACAGCCCCCTGTGCTTCACAAGCAGTTCACTCAGTGTTCAGCAACTCTGCATAACTGCTAATGTCCCAGCATTTTATGAAGAACCAAAGAATACAGAAATGGAGCTGTCACATTTATAGATATAATTATGGAAGATAACACAGGGTCCTTTTTTCCTAGATTCCTTTGTAAATGCATATGATAATAACACCCATTCAAACAATCAATTTTTTTTGAACATCCACTTTACAGAGGCACCCTAAGTGTAACAGTGAATGAAACAATTGCGTTCCCTATGGTTAGAGGATTTACATTCCAGTAGCTGTGATTTACTAAGTATTTGCCACACCAGGCATGGAGCGGAGTGCTTTGTATAATTCTCATTTAATGCTAAACACACTTTTCCACAGCTGAGATTATATTCTTCACATAGTTTTACATCCTACTTATCTCATATAACATTATATAGCAGCATTCTCCTTTCAATAATAAAAAAAAACTTCAAAGATGATTCATGAAGGTTTCATAACCTCCTCAACTTTACTGACAGACTAAAATTGACTGACTCTTTTGTTATACTCCCTTACACTGTGACATTAGCCTTCTGGATATCCTCTTTCCAACAGTCACAAGTCACAGGAGGATGGCAGTAGCCACCTCCATCCCTTTACTTATGGCTCAGGGTATTCCATAATTGTTCTTCTTATGGCCCTCTTCTTTGTGTGTGTATTTTAAAGCTATACCCAAAAGCTGCTGTGCAGAAAACTAAGTCACAAGAATTATGAGAGTTTCAGCTGAAACAGCTGTTCTCCCCGGCTTGGCAGGTCCTTGGCCCAGAAGATGCCAGCCAGCCGGTTGAGTCAGTCTCACTCCCAAACACAGCTGTCGGAAGGAAGGTAGCATCGTTAAATTTTCCCTAGTAGACTCAAACTTGAAACAAGATAAACTGAGTGGCTGTAAGAGTTGAGATCAATGGGGGGCAAAGAGTGAGAAATGGAGACTTAAAGCAAGAGGAAAAGAAATCTTCATTTCCAGAGCAGCCAGATGCCCTAATAATAAGCTGACTGATGCTATTCACTTCTGCAGTCTCTTAGAGCCTCTATAGTGGAAGAAAGCAGAAAGACTGTTGCTATTGTTGGGCCCAAGGGCTGCAACCTCTGAGAAGCTTTCTTTCCCTTGGCTTTTTTCCCCTAACCATGCCAAGCCCTGGCCACTCTGAGGTGACATCTCAATGACCACCATCACTGACAATTTAAAACGGCTCCTGGACACGTGTGCTTATACCCACTGAGCACTGAGCTGGGCATCTCACATGACTGCTCCCTACACTGCAGGTTAACTCATCATAGGGCAAAGCATGACCATTTCACAGGAGCACCTCCTACCCTGTCCCCCACCCTCGTAAGGCCACAGGGACCAGAAGTGAAGCCCTGGGTTGCAGCAGCCATTCAATCAGCTCATCCTCTCCAGCCAAACTTCTTATAGAAAGCACAGTCCCATGAGAATGGACTTTTAACAAGTAATGGTGCCTCTTAGCATTCTTCTGCCTCTAGCCCAAGAATGCAGTACCTTCAGCAATCCCTTGATGAGAGCATCTAGAAATGAATCCAGAGTTAAGCCAGGTCCTAGTACCTTCCCATGACTCTTTGCCTCTGGCCTCCAGATAATTATCTTTCTTCCTAATGAAGAATGAGACATCCACTATCCACTGCAGTGCAGATGTCATTTTACCTTCGGTTGTCAACAGCACTGAGAACATCTATTCTTTCTAAGAACTGTAGCAGATATCAATTTAGACACAGACAGATGTATGAAAAACTGCCCTGTAAACACAGTAGGAAGTGACGTGGGAGCATGTGAAGGAGAATATCTCTCTCCCTGCTCATTCATTATTTTCTCTAAAAGTTAAGTAAACAGACTGGGATCCGTTCGATGAGGGAATTTTCACCATTTTCATGTACGGCAGCCCCTAAGGCCAGTTCTCTGGACCTGATTATGAGCCAGCCACAGGCTTCTGAAGAACTCTGTCAGGCTGTTCTTGTGGTCAAATGCAATATCATGTACACAAGAGCATATTGTAAAAGTGCCAGGCACAGGACAAACCTGTTATGGTTACAAGCATTTTCCTAAATGTGAGGGCATTTTTGTAAGTGAAACTACATTGACACAAACATTTAATAAGAAGTTGGGGCTGGCATGGTGGTATAGGACTAATATGCACACTCAGGAGGTTAAGGTAGGAGGATTGCTACAAGTTGTAGTCAAGGCTGGGCTACACAGTGAGTTCAAGGCCTAGGACAAGAATGTGGGAATTATCATCCACATGGGTGTTGTTCATTTAACTCAGAAATTTCCACACATGCAAGCTGATTTTCCAGCTACCTTCTGATCGTGCCAAGCTTTGTCTGTGCTAAAAGTTTAAGTTGGAATTCTGATGAGTCTGAGTTACACAGCTCTGTTGGTCACTCCAGTTCTATTGCACAAAGGAAGTTTGCTGTGGGCTGTGAAAAAGACTGCTGCACAAAGGAGCCTGTAATCTACAAGTGTTAACTCATCTAATTCACAAGTTCTACCATGTAGTGGGAATGATGTACTCATTTCACAGAGACTTTCCAAATTAACACAAAGAGGCAAACTTTATTCTGTGCCCCAAGTGTCCTATTCATACTGTCTGACTGATAAACTAATTCCAACTTAATCAGGAATGCCTTACACATAAAAGCTAGAAAGACTGTGACCCTGCTGGGAGTCACTGGAGAATAAAATTATTAAAAATACAACTGTGAGGAACCTTTCCAAGTATCCCCGATTTCAAGTTCCCTGTGAGTGGAATTAACACACCCATAAACACCAGGCTACTCTTCCTCCTCAAGCCAGGAAGGAAAGTATCAGCGTTGGCCTCTGTAGTTAGCTAGTCTTGGGCAAGCACTAGGTCTGAACGTACACTCATATACCAACACCAGACGATAGCTACCTTACTGCCGTATCATCACATCGAATATAAGAAGGTGAGTTTAAAGCACTGAGGTGGGTAAAAAGCAAACCAGCTTTGAAGCTAGACAGACCTGAGGTCAAATCCTGGCTTTGCTACCTATTAGCTATATTACCTCCGTCAAGGTCTTTAACTCCTCTGAGCCTGTTTCACTTATGAAGATGATCACATACCACCTAAGATAAAATGTGTAACATTACACTGGTAAAGCACAGGCAGGAAGTGTGGTAGTATAAATGACAATAAAATAACTAAAATTCATTGAGTATTTATCATGCAGTTATAGGTACATGAATTAAAGACATGGATTATTTCTTTCACAATAACTCTACGAGGGAAGTGCAGTTATTGCCATCTTGTAGATGAGGAAATTGAGAATCACAAAAATGAACTGATTCGTTCAAGGTCACACAGCTAGGGAGACAAAGATCTAGACAGTCTGCCTGACAGAGGAGAGGCTTCGCTGACTGTTTGTGTGTTACTGAGAAACAAATGTCAAAACATAAAGATCACAAGTTTTGTGGACCAACAGATCAGATTTCAGGCTATTGTTCGGTCTGTGACCCTGAGCAAGTTAGGAAAGCTTCCCACCTCCAAACATCCCATCCACAACAAGGCCCATGACCATGCTGAGGGCAAGGAAGCCTAGTAGTTTGGCCTTTGCTATGCAAAAGACATCGCTGTATTCAGTAGAGAAAGGAGACACAGAGTATAAGAAGGAAATAAGTAGATATTGAAAAGGAATTATTTGCAGTCAAGACACAAGAATTCAATCTGTAAGTGTAAATTTAATCACATTCTTTGCAAAATATCAGCCTCAGTTACCCGCAGCAGTGTTAGCATCTGATGTTCTTTTTTTCCAAGTGCTACCTACAGAGCTTAGTGGGTTTGGCCCCTTTCTGGCCCATCCTGACGTTGTGGAGCCCTGACGCTTGTTGCGGAATTTGTTCTTAACTGTGTTGTACATACATTTTGACACCTTTTCTAATCCCAGCTCTCACATGGCCCGGCAATTTGAAAGGATTAGGAGTCTCTCTATAAAGTGTGCCCTGTACTCTTTACTATGTGCCGTGATGTTTATAGGGGGAAAATGAGGTCAAGATGAGGAGCTTCTGAGTCTACAGCTGGGAAGTAGCTGGGAAGACAATACATCACACCCCATGTAAAGCAGCAGTTTAGTTAACAACTGGGACTGGGAACTGTGTTTGAGACACAGATTCAGCAGGGTCTTAGCGAGGAATACTTGCCTGAGGAAGGGAAGGCCGCAGCTACTCTGCTCACTGGATCTGCTGAGGCCCCCTGTACAAGGCAAGCGGAGCCTGAAGCCGGGCGACTTCAAGCTTGTGAGTCAGGCAAGGCACGGCAGGGTTTATTTGTCAGGAACTGTGGAGAAGCCAAATCCAGAGGCTGGAGCTACAGAGAGGGTTTTTTTTTAAAGGACAGCTGGAAATCCTAAACCCTGTTGCTATCAGAGTGTTGGCAGAGATCAACAATTTGGACTGTAGTTTGGGGGATTTTATTTAAAAAATCTCTCAAAAGGAACCAATTATTTTTAGGAACTAATGACACACACAATAAGGGGGTGTAGAAGCGGGGGGGGGGGGGGGGCTGTGATTTTCCCTATCTCCAGAAGGAGCCTATTTCCTGCTGCTTCTGTTGCTAGAGAGGAATTATATAAAATGCAACATCAAATTCTAGTCCCATCTGAGGGGTTTTAAAGGAGCTTCCCAATACAAACGATTACTAGCTTACCTGGAGTTAAAGAGGGGTAATTATGTACTCAGGTTGACAAACTTATTCCATTAACAAAGAATATCCTGCACGGCACTTGAGATAAGAAGGGAAATGTTCTAAGAGAGAACAGAAGCACTGTATTCCAGTGTACAAGTCCATCTGCCTTGTTTCCTCAGGTTTACAAAGACAGGACCAAAAAGAACAGCAGGACGGTTTCAGTGAATCCAGGCACACATTATCATTATTAGTGTCAATTCTGCATGTCAACAAATGTGAAATACTGAGAAAATGAAAAGCAAATGCAAAACACCTGCCAGCTGCAGATTAATCAACTGCATATTAATTAATATAAAGTTTGTGTGAGAAGTCAAACAGTAGTGCAATAAATTGGGTGCCTTCAACGTTTTTTGCAAAGGCAAATGAAAACCATCTAGTGGGCCCAAATGGACTCGAATCACACTGACTGCATGGAGGAGGACTTATTTCATTGGGGATGCAAGGCTGCACAGAGCTAGGGTACTTACCCTAGGGATTCAGTAAGGTCACCTATGGTTACTAGCTTATCTCTTTGGCACATGAGATTAAGAGTTAACATATGTTAAAAAGGATACATTTCTGAGAGTTAATTGTTTAAAGACCTACTCTCTTTTCTCCCCCAAAGCCCACTGATAGATTGCAAAGTAACTCTCACAGTTTACAGATACTAATGGGTCTTGTTGAAAATGACACAGCACACCATTCACAGGCATGAGTACAGAGACGGTCTCCTTTTTCTCCAGAAACCTTCTCCAGAGCCACAGCCAAAAGAAATGCCATAAACTGTCACAGAGCCTAAGGCATCGACCCTACTATTATGTGTTGGAACTTAACAGTACAGTGTAACGAACACAAGCAGCCTGAAGCCTTAGGCTTAAGCAAAGGCATAAGAAGACACTAGGTTTTCTCGACAAGGCCATTCATCATTAACATCTAAAACCTGACAAGTTATCCTTTACAAAGTAATTAGGAGAAAAACTTTAGAAGAAACTGTAAAATTTGGGGAACTCAGGTATTTTAGACTATAGCAATAATATTTTGTATTTTTATTTCTAAATAGAAACACGAGTATTATTTCCACTATAATCCTAAGTATTTGTCTACTTGGTAGTCTAAGCCTTAAGGTGATTAACCTGTGGGTTGAGGGGTAGAATTCTACTTATACAGAACTGGAAAATTTAAAGAAATAACCATTACTTTAAAGTAAGCATGGTGGAGAGCCAAAATCTTTACTCTGCGCTTTCAACTTACACTTTCAATTCTGCTCTTCTCTAGTGGCCACGTAGTAGAGGTGGAGCTCCAGGTATACAGTCCTTGGTGGAAAAGGACATACTTTTAGGTGCTTGAGGAAACCATCTACTGATTTCCACACTGGCTGTGCCAGTGTACATGTCTATCAGCAGTGTATGAGAGTGTCTTTTCCCCCACATCCTTGCCAACGTTTCTTGTTATGTGTTCTTGATGACAGCCATTCTGGCTTGGAGAAATACACTCTCAAATCTATCTTAATTTGCATTCTCCTGATGGATAAGGATGTCGAATTTTCTTTAGAATATTTATTGACCATATAGGTTTGCTAGGGAAATTAACTGAGATGGTAGCTATCAAGCTCTTTAGTACAGTATCTCATGAATAAGTTGTAATTAAAAGTGAGGTAAAAGTGAGCTATTTTTATCAAAATTATATTTCTGAACTATGTTTATTAAAAATGTCTGGAATGTGTATAGACTGTATTAGCACATTTTATATTACTAGAATGAAATATCTAAGGCTGGGTAACTTTTGAAGAAAAGAAACTTCATCATAGTTCTGGAGGTCTACGGCTAAGGAACCACATCTGATCACAGCCTTCAAGTTGAGATGTGAGCATTGCAAGATAAGAGAGAGAGAGAGAGAGAGAGAGAGAGAGAGAGAGAGAGACTGACTGTCCACCTTTCTGTCTTTTGATCTCTCTTTTACAAAGCCATCAATATTTAACCATGGGGCCCAATCTGAATGCCAACATCAAAGAGGTCAGAAAAGTATTAGGTACTATGCTTTAGTGCTGTGGCCACTGGAGGCTTCCCATGTTCTAGTGGATGGTGCCATACCCATGTGAATAAAGGCAATGACTGACTAAACTCCAGGAGACTTTAAAGGGGGGTGGGTGGGCAGGCATGAAGGTATTAGAAGGATATACACGAGAAATCCAATGAGAGTTGGAGAGGAAAATCATTGCGTACCTATATAAAATTCTTTAAGGAAAAAAACATATTTTAAAAAAAGATGGACCAGATACTCCAGTGCCTTCAAAGCAAAGGCTACATGCATATAAGCAAATACAAATGCATGTGCATGAACACATGGATGCAGATATGGATGAAAACATGTACTATCTATATAATCAAAATTCAGACTGCAGGAAAAACACTTGCAACACCATTGGAAGAAGTTCAGCATACCTAAGAACAACAAACCCATAAATTTCTAAGATATCAAGTAAAAAGTAAAAGGGGTTTCCTAAGATGTAGCTCATAATAGTACCTCTTCTCTGGACAGTCAAGGAGAAAAGAGCAACAAGGAGTGCTCAGCACCGTTCCTAGCACAGAAGAAGAGCTCAATGTGCTTCCGCCCCTCCCCACACCTCGGCAGCCCCCACGACAGCCACTGCCGTCACCTCGACCAGTACTCTCACATGTCTCACCACCATCACCATGACAGTCAGCAGCCTCACCAGCACCGTGGATCAAGAACCATTAGCGATGCAAACCTAATCAGCTCTCAAGGGCAGTGCCAATGCAGACCCCAAACTACACAGCTAAACAACTCAACCCTTGGCTGCAAGGGTCCAGGCAGGTGTTACCTTTTCATGGTTCTCTATTAAGATCTCAATGACAATGTTCTGAAACTTGATGTCCATGATGGCTGCCACTGTTTCTTCCTGAGGCCGCAGCAAGGTGGGTCCAAACACCACGCCAAGGTTTGCCACAGTCATCAAGTTCTGCTTGTGGTTGTTGGCAACACTGGAAAGGGGGAAAAGAATAAGTGAGAGAAGCCATGCACACAGAGATGGCTGACCCCTGCGGGTGCTTCCGGCCCTCCTACCTGCATCTACAGTAAGCAGGACCCGGAACATCCTTGGATGTCAAGAGTCAAAGAGTAACATTTTTCTTGTATCTTCAACTACAGTGTTCACAGATCTGCATTCGGTATTCACTTCAGAATATGATTTCCATTTTGCCTAAAACAACCAGCCAGCTAACCAACTAGTCAACGCCATCAGCCAGATGATGAGCTTTTGCTCACCTGAGTCACTACTCTCTAAGCCCAGGTAACTGCCCACCTCTTGGTTACAGCTTCTGCACCTGTCTGCTGCTGAAACCCCGGAGGGTTTCCCCCTCTGCATCCAGTGCAGATCAAGACACTTCTGGGTTTAATACATTTGCAAACAAAAGCACAAAATAGACATCGTTTTTTAAAAGGAAAAGAGCTGGTGTTTAAACCATGTCAGGAAATTCAGTACTCTAAATACCAAGTATTAAAAACCATTTGATTAAACATGTGGCTCACATTAAGTGAAACATGTGGCATCAACAGAAACAAAAAATGCACTACTGTATATCCAGGTGTTTATACTGCACTAACACTCAAATTTTAAAAGAGCACATGAGGTAAGCAGTGGCTAGGTCAGAATAATCTGCTACATACACATGCATATTTTTAGGTTAAACAACTATTTAAAATATGTATATCTAAACACCATGCCCAAGCTATAAAACTCAATGGTTCATAGGCAGTCCCTTAAATAAAAACTTAGGAATGACCTACTGGCAATAAACAAGTTCATGCCATTCAGCACTGTTACAAAATACCAGAAGCTTCTGTAGTCACCCACCTGCTGAAAGAAGGAAGCTATTCATTACTAACTCGAACCTAGAGAGAAATCTGGGTAGAGACAGTCTCCATAGACTGGCCTCCCCATCGGTTAGTGTTATTTACATTTAGTATCTTTCATACAATCCCATCAATGTCCACTCTGTTTCTCTTGTAGACTTCTATTATGTAGGAGGAGAAGAGATTCACCTACCTTAAATGTCTGTTTTTAAACTGAGTACTGAAATCCTACTTCAACCAATTTTATCATCTGATATGTGCTTTTCTTGAAGTTTTTAAGTCTGAGACATCAAGTGAACTTCCTTCTCTGAAAGGGACCAGGTGTGTTTAGGGCTATGGGACTTTAACTGTGGCTAAGTGCAATAAGCAAGAGGATTTGCTTCTTGACTGCAGGCAACACTCACAGCAGAGCATTGCCACAGAAGCCTGCTCTGTTTCAGGCCCATACAAGGACATTTTATAAGCACTTTGTTAGCTCTCCCTTAGTCCCCTGGGCTTACTTACATCTTTTTGATTCTGCCCAGAACTACATCGCACTGTCCATGTGAAAGAGTTAATGAGGATGGTAAACGGGAATATGGCAAAGAAGAAAGCCTTTTGCCAGGGCCTGGGCCCATCAGCTAAGCTCCCACACTAAGACCGCTTCTCTATCATCACTTTCCCCATCAGGTCATGAGTGAGGAAGGAATTCAGGGCTGACACTTCTCCCAAATGAGTTAAGTTACTAGATTTATTCCTGCTTATACAAAAGTCCCTTGGGAAAATGAAATCAACAAGCTATTTATGCCTGAAAACACTTTCAAATTGCAAGTCAATATAAAAACGTCAGTTGGGATCGTGATCTTTTGCTACCATCAGGCCTTCCTGCTCTCTCCCTGACTGTAGGAAAAGCCTTCTCCTCAGTTAGCCCTCCACCACCTGTTTCCAGCTTTCCCAGATTACTACCATCAGCTGTGGTGTGGAAACCTACTCTGATGCCCCTCCTCTGCTGACGAGGTCATTCTCATATCTCTGCTGGTCCTGGAGAAAGCACAAAATCACAGCTCTGAAGTGTTTAGCAATTCTTCTCATGTTTAATTGTTCTGACAATGAAAGTCAATGGTTGGTCCCTTTTATTTTGCTTAGCTTTCTGGAGCTGAGAATACAGTACAAGGCCTTGGATATACTAGGCAAGTGCTCTTTTGGGCTACACCTGAAGTTAGATACTCACAAAAGAAGCACACCTTTCCCTCAACTCATCTCTAAGTTTCTGTTACTTCCCAGCTGTGGGCCACTTGACAAGCAACTTACTTCATCAAACATAAAGGCTTTGGGTCCCTCTTCTTTTTGAAAAGGAGTAATAAGGGTGGGGAGCATACCCACTTTCATAGCATGTGGTGCAGGTTGACGGTGATCATGCACAGGAAGTGTAGTGGTGGGAATGATTTACTCCCTACTCCCCATTCTCCTCTTCTGCTCCCATACTTCTTTTCTTGTTCATGTCATTTCTTGGCATAGAATATTCCTATTATTTCTGTGCTTGACAAACTTTCTCTGCCAGGCTCCCTTACACGGTACCCTTGCTTTCTACACCGTCCTTGGTCTCTTCCTCGCCCTCCATCCCAGACTCAAACAGACAAGTTGGCCTGCCTCCGAGGTTCTCACTCAGGGTTGGTGTTTCCACCACTATAATGAACACAGAGGTTGAGGTATTGAATTTGACAAAGCCAGTGACAAGCAGGATGAAATTTAAAGCATGATGGGAACTTCTTGGTAGATGTGAAACTCATATTTTCAGCCCATCTGAAAATTTTCGAACTATTATCAACAATATGGGGATAATTATACCTGAACTACCCCAACTTCCCTTTTCAAAGTCTCAAGCTGTGTTCCACTTCTTAGATTTAATTAATGAGTAATAATTACTCTGATTTGCAGGCCCTGAGGCCCAAAGGCATTTGGAAAAAGCAGTACAGTAATTTTGGGTTGGCAACTCCTAATATAAATAGGCTTGAGGCTACCCAGCAAATTCATTTCCTGTTTAATGATCCATTTTGTTCTGAAACTTAAAACACATTGATCTAAGTCTTGTGAAACTTTTCAGTGACAAGCTTGTACCTTCTCATTGCTACCATTATATCTGGGCACTGCAGAAATAAATTGATCTGTCACTTGATTATTTAGGCTCACAACTTGTTACAGCTTTGTTCATTACTCCAGATTGAATTATTAATGACTTGAGATCTCTGTATTCCAGGGAGGAAGGCCTAGACCTAAGTCTCTGCTGGCACCAGCCATGAATTATAGTTTGACGGATTTACAGATGTGTGGGAAGCAGGCTGGCAGGGTGCTGGGAAGCCGGTCCAGCAGAAGCCACGGGACTCATTCATTAGCGAGATCCATAAAACACTGAGCCTGCCTTCTGTTCTGTTAATTGTACTGCCTGGGCTCTTCCTCAAACAGTTCAGAATGTCATGTTGAGTCTTGTCTTAAAATCCACACACACGCTTCTTGTGTGTTGAACTCTACATTGACACATTCCTTTCAGACCCCTGTATCCATATGGGCTACTTTGCTGAGGTGCCTTCCACAAATATTCAAGTAGAGCTGCAAGCTTGACTCAGAAAGTGCAGAGGAAGAGATCCACCTGTGTTGAGAGGGAGGGAAGCCCTTGTTCGTTCTGGGACTTTGCATTTGGGCACAAACACTGAGAGTCAGTGCACCTCCTAAGGCATGTGCCACAGAGAAGTTCCAGGGGAATCTAGACCTACGTTCCATGCAACTGGATTATAATTAGCAAGTGAAGAACATATTTCAGTGAAAAATAGGCATAGTAGGGGGCTCTTGTCATCTTTATTTCAAGGGAAAGTAGCTAGCCAGTCTGGATCTGATACCCTTTGGGAAAGAGAGAAGGGGGAAATCATTTCCAGACGAAGCTGTGGTTATAATAGGGAGAGCATCACAAGGGGCTAAACAGTAGCCAACCCCTTTAGGGCCCATTAAGAAAGGGCCTCATACTGCATAGGGATCACATCTGTTTTCTTTGAGTTGAAATGAGAATCAGGGCTCTGTAAGTGCTGAGTTCTTTCTAACCACAGACTTCCACGAGGGCCTCCAAGTACCTGTAAGCCTAGAGCAGGGTTTGCAACCTGGTTATCTTTGAGGGCTGGAGTGCTATATTGAGGAAAGAAAGTCAAAGCCAAGCCCAGTTCTACTGGACACACTGTGGTGTCAGGTGAGTGGGGTCAGCACTGATCCCATGACTGTAGTAAGGCTGTAGTAACACCATACAACCAGTGTTCTGTCTTCTCCACTCCAGTCTCCAGTGTCAACTAATATGATACCTCAGACCTCCAGCGTGATGGAGCCTTTACAAGAAGTTAGAAACTTTATGTACATTTGGCTTTTAGAATAACTCTAGAGCAGTAATTCAAAGCTTTCTGAAAATAAAATATGAAATATATTTTCCTATGCAATATTTTACTGGTACATGTATACATAGAAAATATGCATATATGCACAGTACACACACACACACACACCATCAGAAGCAGACATTTTAGAATAGTAAGTGGGATGCATCTGATATTTTCTGTTCTTTTTTTTAAATCTACTAAATTGATTTTGCAACTCACTTTTGCACCAAGAATTACAATTTGAAAAACATCACCATAGAACATTGTGTGCAAATATGACCCAATTTCTACAAACAGGAAATAAGGCTAAGGGAGACAGTCACCCAGTGGTTGGAGTCAGAGAAAGAGCCAGCTGGATGAAAGGCAAGTCATGTGGCCTCCTCATATAGGAAACAGGAGGAAAGATACCTTATAACACTGGGAGGCTAATAAAGCATGGCTAACTAGTCAATCTTCTGGCCCGGTATACCAGCCTAATCAATGACAGTTGCTACTGTCACGGTGCTAGGGCACAGGAGTGGGTCACAGCAGGTACCAGTTAAAGCCATACTACAGTAATGTTTAGTAGCTGCTTTGGTCTGGGTCAAAGAGAAGTACTAACCGTGTTACAAACAAACAACTATAACAAATGTGAGCGACACACTTCTTTTTCATCAGCATCTCGGGCACCACAGAGGGAGACTCAGCCAATGCAAACCCAGGAAGCTCCCTTTGCTTCATGACACCAACAGCTT